GCAATAAAAAAATTATCATCACACATCGTCATAATTTTTGACTTGTTAGAGCAATTTGATTTACAGATAAGCTGCCGAGACGCATTTTATAGGCTTCACACTTAATCATATTTGACAATCAGCTGAATACTTGAAAGCAGATGTATACATGTCTATTGATAAAATCAGTTCACTATTTTTAGTTAAAAATGTAATCTGTTATTGTTCGATATCGAAGGATTTATTGAAATGTACCTACAAGATGGGGCAGAATATGCTGTTTGTTTGCCAATTTTGAAGAAGAAATTAATCTGGAACAGATATACTCAATTCAATTCAATTATTCTTTATTTACTGAAGTGCAATGATGACATTTATCCGCAATAAAACAATAAAAACAAGAATACATATAAAAAAATATACACGAGATCAAAAAACACTATTACAGTCACAAAAATTTGAAACAGTACAAATAAAGAACTGAGAAACTACTGGAACTGGACAAGTCGCTGTTGAAAAGCTCATCAAAGTTGTAGTATGCCTTGTTGATCAAGAAGCATTTCAGTTTCATTTTGAAAGGCTAATTAATACTGTTCTTAGTAGTTTGTAGAAGGTGTGATAAATTTAACTTGTGGGCATTTCGCATGTTGTAGCTGTGCTATCACTGTGCGTTGTATACAAATGACGATTTCTATAGATGCACGATAAGCAAGTTAGGATATACCACGACGGTAGGGTTTATATTTTTACTTGGATAAAAGCATCTTTACATGGAGCCCTAAGTCCCAAACCACAGATTCGTCTGACACAACGTCGCGGCAGTGACATAGAAAATAGAACTCCCAGTATAAATGATTTTATTTCAATATAATTTATTTATAAAGTCAGGAGATAGAGGGCCTCAAAACCTATGTGTCGTCCGAAATTTTATAGTTCAGGAGATGTTTGCAATTTTGAGGAATTTCAATCGCAATTACAACTATAATAAGCCATTAGGCTGTGATGTTTTTTTAGATGGGCTGAATGGTTAGTTTTAGCAATGCTTATGTCACTTTTTAACAGAGCTAATTAGAAATCAATGCAAAAAATTTTAAATTCATTTTTTTGTGAAATCTCTTTCATCCTCAACCTTGGAGGGTGGTAAAAAAAATTGAGGTTGTATTTTATTATTCATTTTATTGTAAAAACTATTTCAATCCATATAGAATAAACCCTGAAAATTTCAGCTGTTTACGAAAAGTAAGAAAATGGCGGATTTTTTGTTAAAAAGTGACATGCGCATTGCTAAAACTAACCATTTAGCTCTTCTCAAAAAAAACACAGCCTTAAGCCCAATGGTTTAGTTGTAATTGCGAAGTTCATTATCCCGCTCTTTTCGAAATTTCGTAAAATTGCAAATATCTCCTGATCCACTACAAACTGTATAAGTAGAGTCATTAACAATGCTTAAATCTTCTTCTTTCTTTTCCTCTTCCATTTTTTCCTTAAAATTATTTGGTTTACTGAGTTGCCAGGCTATATGCCAATATATGCTCATATAGTTGGTGGCATCTATGAGAGACTAATATTTTCAAAGTACATTTTTTATTATTGCGGTAAGGAGAAACGACTGTAGAAGATTCTCTTAGATGACGAAATGATATCGCATTCCACCTCGTAGGTAGGAGAACAATCAATATTAGATGAGAAATTACTAGGATTAGTTGAAATCTGTCTTAGATATAAACTTAATTTTGCTAAAAGCAATATATGTACAGTTGTATTCATAAAAAAAGCATACACGAATTAGAATGAGAGGAAACCTTAACCTTATTTGCGTAAAACCGGCTTATCGCATGTTAAAGGTTATTAAAAATGCAAAGCATGGGCGTCGGGCATTAGTTCAATACAGTAACAAAAATGTATTTCTTTATTTAACATCTTAACAGTTTTATAAAAATTACAATAGAAACAAAAAACGATTAACAAGAATAAATAAAATCTAATATTTGGTCATATATCCCTGCTTTTCTATTACTTGAGCCAGTCTATTCGGAATTGACTGAATTATATTTGATACAATATTTGGATCAAGCTCTTCCCAGCACGCATGTATTATTTCCCATAAATCTTCTGAATTTTGTGGCCTAAAATTTCGATTATATATTTTTTTTACGATTATACCCCAAATATTTTCGATTGGATTGATATCGGGACTATAAGCGACCCAAGGCAGCACTTCCACATTATGGGTTTGAAACCAGTGGGTTACAGCATTGGCCGTATGAACTGGACAATTATCTTGTTGAAATATGAACGTATTATTGGGATATATTTGCTCAGCACTTGGTAACAATATGTTTTCTAAAATGTTAATGTAATTTCCGGCATTAAATCTTCCCTCTATTCGCCAGCAAACACCAGGTCCATGAACACTTATCCAGCCCCATACATTTACAGAGAAACGCCCAGGTCTAGATTTGAGGGGGTTAGTATATCGCTCTTCAAACCTGGTATTGTTTGGACGGTAAACACGAATTTGGCCGTTATAAGTCGACTGGAACATCTTTTCATCAGTAAAAATGACCCTGTTCCAAAATTGAGGATTGCGGTGTATATAATTTAAAGCAAAAATAATCCTTGATTGTCGCCGTTCTTCGTTAAGAAACATTTTTTTCGCAGCAGGGTGACATTTTAGTTCAGATTTCATTACTCTCCTGCTGGCGGTAGGTTGGGAGGCAGGAAATGCTGTATCAATAACAGCATCCCTTACAGTTGCAAATGGATTATTTCTTAAATATCCCAAAAAAGCAGCATCCTGTTCAGGGTTGGTAAGTTTGGGACGACCTGAACCAATTTTCCTCTTTAGGGAATCTTCCTGTTCCCAGCGTTGCTTAATTTTCAATATGGTTTTTTTATTTCTATTATACATCTGCGCTACAGCACGGATTGACCATCCTTCTTCGATTCTTGATACAATTTGAGCCTTTTCAACTTCAGACAACTGACGAGGCATTTTTATTTTCTTCTGTCAAAGTTTATCAAACGTTACCACCACGCATTTTCGAAATGAATTACACCGACGTCAATGCTTTGCATTTTTGACAATCTACGACGTGTGATAACCTCCAATAAACAATCATTTAGACAAGCCGGTTTTACGCAAATAAGGTTAAGGTTTCCTCTCATTCTAATTCGTGTACGCTTTTTTTTTATGAATAGAACTGTATATGTTATGTGTGTTTCAAATTCGAACCTCGCCTTTGGGATCTCGGAAACGGTAACGCGAATGTTATATGGTTAGTATTTACGGTGGTCCGAAACATCAGTGGATTTCTGCTTAATATTATGCATGAATAATTACTGACGTTCAGGCTACATGGGCAATAAATGCTAAATCGTTTTTGTTGTCATGTGGGTATAAATCACTCTATAGGGAGCTGTATATTCCAAGTACGAAGCGTATAGTCCACAATTTATATAAATAACATTTCTGATTATGTTTTATAGTAATGGAGTGACCCTATGTATGTCTAATTTATTTCACCAGCTACGTCGCTGGATCGCTTGAGAATGTTTCAAGATTTTTTTGATGTTAATCACAACAAAGGCTTTAACTTTAGGCTACTAATTCACGTTTATTAATGATTTTACTAACTGTTGCAATGAACTGGACATACCCATCCTAGAGGTGTTTTCATCCGTTTCCCAATTCCTAGATAAACTTATAACTTTGAAGTTTGATAAGAAAGTTACCCAGAATTTTTTATTTCGAGATGCATTCACACTCAAGAATATATAAATCCGTCTGTACAATTTCTTCTACAACAGAGTTCACATTCGGCTAGTTAGCCTGATCAAATAAGTTTCTTGACGTTTCGAGATAACATATTCAAACTGCAGTTTCCCGATTTTTTTACTCAGATTCTACTCTGTATATTTTCGAATTGCACATCTCTTGTTGTGTTTGTAGTTATACAAAAGTGACTGGATGATTAGAATTTGAATAACAAGTCTTGCCAGATTTCACAGTGTTTGAATAATTCAAATAAATACTTGACTACGTCTTAAAGTATATGAACAAAGTTTAACTTATTTTTGAATTTTGTCTCCACTAAGAAATTTTTGATTGTGTTCAAAGTAATTAGAAATGAAAAAAAGATAAAGTCAAGTTTGGGGGAGTTATAGATTTTTTGGTCATAATACTGGTACCATTAGATAGGCCTTCCAAAATCTCTTTATAATCCAGTGACACTTTCCAAGTTATAGAAGGATCAATGATTAATTAGTTTTCTTTGACGATTGCTCTATCACAACAGGACCAATTAAAAACAACTATAAATATTTTTTTGTCCGTACTAGAGGACCAAGAATTACCTGACGAACGCCACAAAGAATGCACCTCCTATGTTACATATATCTGAGAAAGTATTCTTCCGTTTGAAGTTTTGCGATTACAGTCCTGGCCTATTGTCTTGACTGAAAAAATGAGCTACCTGATTGAATTTTGAGAGGTATGAATGACCAAAAAATAAGTATATAAAATTTGCAGTATAGCAAACATTTGTCATACATTATAAGTGTTGCTTTCAAGTATTGCAAACGACTAAATTATTACTTAAGAAGCATCTCGCGCAATATTTGCTTGAATGTTTCAAAAAAGTAATCCTAGTAATTTTCTATATCCACATCCATATCATCCGCCATGGAACACTCTATATAAATGAGAAGCAAATAAGAAGAAAAATATCAAGCAAATTTTTTTAAGGCGCCCCCCTTCCGTTTTGAGCTGGGTACGCCCTTGGTGGTGGTTCTGGTAGAATACTTCAATCAATACTTTAGTTTTGCTAGATGATCGGCTTTTGCATTTGCTGTCATGCAGTTGTATCAAGGACGGTACAAGATGGTCACTCCTTTGGAGAGAGCTAGCTGTTGGAGATCTGCTGCATTCTTTCTCGGAAAAGAAGATCTAGCGCAAAACTAAGGTGAAAATAAAAACAAAACTGTATTGTGTGACAGCTACATCAATTTATTCATCATGTATCAGTTTACAAATCATATTGCCATACAACATAAGATCTTAGTTTGCTATATATAGTAAAAGAGTGAAATAGGAATATGCCGTCTTTATGATCTGAAATGAAAAAATATGTTGTTGTTATTCTCCTAACTTGCTTTTTTATAGACTTACAGAAACGAAGGTTTCAAGTGATATATCGCATATGAATGCAGCCTTGAGTTTTAGAGGTCTTTGTGATCGTAGAATCATGAAGCATAAATATTTGCGAGCTTCAGGGGTTGAACGGTACCAGTCACTTTGGAAGATGATATCGCCAAAAGTACCACTCTGCAAAACATAATTGTGATATTGGAAGAACTAGACTAGACTAGAACCTCCAAAACAGACCTCAACTTTCTGGAAGCAGCGATTCTGGCATTTGTTATAAATAAGTGATAAAATAGTGATAAATTAGTGCTTTTAAGGAGGAATAAATTGTTTTCTTTGGCGAATACCTGTTATCGTTCCATTGGTGTCAGGTGAGAGGTTAGTGCGAGCACGTGTATGTGTCGCGAGTTACTTTATTTGTATTTTGTTGGTTTTCGTTTTGAGGTTATTATTGTAACATGGACAATGGCGGTGAAGAAACTGTATGTTCTGAAGAAACCGTACGTTCTGAAAGTGGTGGATCTGAAGAGGGACAACAGGGTGGTGGTGACTCTTCTCCCGGGCTATTTGGAGAGCCGCGGCGAGCTGTTTCTCCAGAACTTGTCCCAGGAATCATATAATACTAAAAACCAAGTCTCATTGCAGCGTCTGATGCACAGATGGCTGACAACACCCGCGTATTCCGAAACGAAAGTCATACCACCTCAAGAAGATGAATAGCTTGTTCCTCGAGTAAAGGGCAGCTACGGAAGCCGAAGGCCAAGCAAAGTATATCTACAGCATGGGACCGCTTATCGAATCGACTTCCAAGGATTGGTTCAACAATTGAGTCGACGCGTACGCTATCCCCAATCAGAAAGCTGCCACCATTACGGGCGTTCTGGTGGATAAACGAGCTTTTAAGAGCTGAAATGCATCTATCTAAAGTTGAACCAAGCCACCAGCTTGACTGGGATCGGTATCTCCATATGCTTCTCATGATATACCGGCACGGGTATTACTTTTCTTGAAAATTGACATTTCGTAGGTTATTTTGATATTTGGTGTTTCTACAAGATTTTAAATTAGCACAAGCTGTTGTATACTTGTTGTGAACTCGATTTGTAGCTGTACGTGTTGCTTAAACGTCAGCGAAGAGCGATCATAGCAAGCAAACGTGGAATGAACTATTTACACACTAGAAACTACATAGTTTGCAAGATCACATTTCGTCGTTTTGTTTGGCGTTTTTTAGGTTTTTTACATAATAGCCGTGCTGGTCGCTGTCAATAAGTCAACAGCTCAGACTCCGGCAACAGTTTTGGCTGTATGATAGCAAACGAAGCACGGAAGCTGATACTGTCCTGCAAAGTTCATTGCGAAGCTCTGAAGAGAGAGAGAGAGGCTGGAGATTCGACAACTTCTGCAGTAATCCATTTCCAGGGACATCAACCTCTCTTTATTTCTTTTCGTCATCTCTCATATTTCTGAGCCATAGGTACAGATACTTTCTACTATAGCTTTGAATATCAATTTCTTTATTTTGTTTGTCACTAGTACTCCATAGAATAGAATTTAGTTTAATTGTTCTTTTACCCTGTGCTATTTTATTTGAAATGTCTTGGTTGCTCTTGCCATTCACCGGAAAAGTTACACCCAGATATTTGAATGATGTTCCTAACATGTTATAGTCTGGAGATTCAGCAACTTCTTCTCCAGAAATCCATTTCCAGGGACATCAACCTCTTGTTATTTCTTTTCGTCATCTCCCATATTTCTAAGCCATAGGTACAGATACTTTCTACTATAGCTTTGAATATCAATTTCTTTATTTTGTTAGTCACTAGTACTCCATAGAATAGAATTCAGTTTCACTGTTCTTTTACCCGGTACTATTTTATATGAAATGTCTTGGTTGCTCTAGCCATTCACCGTAAACATTACACCCAGATATTTGAATGATGTTGTGTTATGTAAGCTCTGGTTTCCGACATCTATCGCTGTTATCTACAATCATATACTCGTTTCTTTTTACACTAGTTGTCAATCCCTATTTCACGTACTCTTCTTCCTGTTTCCAAAACAAGAGTTATCTCTACCACCTGCTAACAAAATCTAGTCGTGAGAGAATTAAAGGGTATATAGGACATCTTCTTCCACTGGTATTCCCATAAGGCAACATTTTCTCTTCCAGTTTACTAAAACTGCTTCAATATACAGGGTGCTTCAGTTTACTGTTGCATAACTTTAAGATTCGATAGAACTTTTAAAATTAATGCATAAAGTCTATATAAACATGGGTCGAAAAATGCGTGGCTTCCGAAATACAGGGTGTTTAAATTTACTTTCTAAAATAGTTTTTTTTTAAATATTTCGAACAATATTTGATGTATAACAGTTAACATTGGTATACAAGGGTTTTTTTGTACGACAAAACGAACCATGGGCATAGTTTTACTGTAGCCGCTACAGGGCGCTCTCTACTCTACCTGTAGTCTATTGAAATGACCGAAAAATTTTTCTTAGTGCAATTTTTTTTCCAATTGTGAATGCACGAAATTTAGTTTCTTTTACCTGTTTTTTTTGTAAGTTTTATAAAAATGCCATTGTTATTCTCCAATCAAGAGTTAGCGGATATTCATTTTGTGTATGGCTTTGTAAATGGAAACGCAGCAGAAGCAGCCAGAGAATACGCACGAAGATTTCTAAACAGACGACATCCAACTTGCTCAGTATTTGTAAGAGTGCATCGCCAAATAATTGAAAATGGTTTTGGAAATCTCCAAAGGGATCAAAACATAAATGTTCGTCAGCGCAGATTTACCCGTATGATTCTGCATGAGTTTGATAGAGATCCGACCACAAGTGTTAGGAGAGTTTCTGGTGCCTTGGGAATTTCAGCAAGCCATGTTCACCGTGTTCTTAGAAATGACCATAGACGTCCTTACCATTTGCAACCTGTGCAAGGACTACAGCCAGGGGACGGAGAATGAAGAATCACATTTTGTCAGTGGATTCTTGATAGAACTGATAATAATAGGGAGTTTTTAAGTAACGTTTTATGGACCGATGAGTCATTCTTCACTAGATGTGGAGTGGTAAATTTTCATAATCAACATATTTGGTCGTATGAAAATCCGCATGCAGTTCGGAAAAGAAATATTCAGCATGAATTTAGTGTGAACGTGTGGATTGGTATCTACCGTAATCGACTATTTGGACCCTACCTTTTGCCTGCAAGGTTAAATGCTGCGACCTTCTTGGAATTTTTAAAGGCTGAACATGCAAATATGTGGGATGATGTTATGTTAGATTTAAGAAGATTGGCCTGGTTCCAGCTTGATGGTTGTCCAGCTCATTATTCGAGAATAGTTAGAAACTGGCTGGACGAAAATTATCCAGAAAGATGGATCGGCCGTGGAGGACCAGTCGTTTGGCCTCCACGATCCCCTGACCTAAATCCATTAGATTTCTTTGTGTGGGGATTTCTAAAAGAAAAAGTGTACCAGACTCCCGTAACCACAAGAGATATGCTAATAGACAGAATCAGGAATGCATGTGATGAAATAAGGCCTTATTTGAATAATGCTATACCACGTTCGATCATTCGTAGATGTGAATTGTGTATTGAACAATTGGGTTTACATTTCGAGCAACTACTTTAGATTTTGTGTTTTTGTCCTAACTATCCAATAGCATTTTAGTTGTAAATAATTAATTTAATTTGTTAAAAATAATATTGGAAAATTAAACAAATTAATATCCTGTTTTTTTGTGTTTATTTGGAGTTAGGAATTATTGCTGTGTTTAAAAACACAATCTAAACGATCATCTTAATTACTTGTAATGCCCAAATCGAAAATGTAAAAAAAATATTATTTTCCCATAAATAATTAAAAATGCATCAAACCTTAAAAATCGAAATATCTCAAAAACGGCTAACTATAACGAAAACTCACAGGTGAGCTTTTTTATGTTGAAAAGCGCGAAGAATCAGTTTTTTTATTCAAAAGGCAAAAAATTGCACTAAGAAAAAATTTTCGGTCATTTTAATACACTACAGGTAGAGTAGAGAGCGCCCTCTAGCGGCTACAGTAAAACTATGCCCATGGTTCGTTTTGTCGTACAAAAAAACCCTTGTATACCAATGTTAACTGTTATACATCAAATATTGTTCGAAATATTTAAAAAAAACTATTTTAGAAAGTAAATTTAAACACCCTGTATTTCGGAAGACACGCATTTTTCGACCCATGTTTATATAGACTTTATGCATTAATTTTAAAAGTTCTATCGAATCTTAAAGTTATGCAACAATAAACTGAAACACCCTGTATATCTTGACAAGTGTCGGAGCAAGTGAGCAATCCTTTGGTTACTGGGAATTCCTCATCTTCACCGCTTTCCAGTTAATGACAACAAACTTTTTCGACAAGACGGTGCAGCAAGCCACACTGCAAGAATTTCAATGAATGCTTTGTTCCCAGGGCGTGTCGTTTCTCGAAACGGGGATATTGCTTGGCCTCCTCGGTCTCCCGACCTTACTGTCTGCGACTTCTTTTTATGGGGTTATCTGAAAACGAAAGTGTTTGAAACTGATCCACCCAGGACAATCCCGGCCCTCAAACAACGAATTCGTGACGGGATTGCAGCAATACCTGTTGATATGTTGCGAAGAGTTATGCAGAACTTTCAGGCTCGACTCCATGAATGCATAGGTGTCAACGGAGGACATTTGACAGATGTAATTTCCAAAAAATATTTTTTTTTTAACATTGTATATCAAATGGCTGCTCTTTTATTTCCCATTAAGATATTAGTAATTACAAAAAAATATTTTTTCAACAATAAAATTATTTACGAAATCTTCCCGTTTCATTGCCGAACCCTGTATATATATATATATATATATATATATTTTCACCTATATATACTATATATACAGGGTGACTTTGAAGTTGAGTCATTAATTTTCAGATAATGATTGTAGAAGGAAGATAAACCAAAATGTGTGTAAAAGTAAAAAAAAAAATAAAAAAATTTTACATTGTTTTATAAAGTATCCTCCCGACAAGTATTTCAGTGCGGACCTGTATTTGATCGTGAGGTCTTGGAGCACCGGCATGCCCTCCCCTGTGAGGTCTAAAGTCACACCAAACAGACACTATTCACACGCGACTGACACTGACTGTATGTATAACTGAACTGAATGAAATAAAAACATCGTTCCAAATTCTTTCGCTTTGTACATGATATTATTATTGAGACAGGGCGGTACTCAAACTTCCAAAGGGCTATAACTTTGTTACTTTAATTTTACCAGAAAAATGGTAAAGGAAAAAAACATTTCTTTTGATCAGATCTACTCACTGTTAAAATAAATGACTCAACTTCGAAGTATATATAGGTGAAAAATTAAA